GGTTGCAAGCCGGGACCGGTGGACCAAAAAGTGGAACAGAAGATCACCAAGCTTTCGTCATTAAGAAAAGTGCCTTTGTTCGAGATTTGGGCAACAAACTGGGAACATCGAAGAGTAACGCCCAATGCGCCAATGCAAAAAAACGGGCTGAAAACATTCAATAAGCAGAAGAAGTCAAAACGGAGTCAGAAACAAGCCGTATCCGTCAAACCGAGGGCTCGAAGGCTTTATGATTGCCTGCTGTATGAAATATTGGTGTGTGTTACAAGACGCTTCCGGGAGATCAATACTACACCGTCCATGATGGTGAGGAAGTCGACGATGCCGATATGTCAATTTTTACCGAAAAAATTGTTAAGAAGGCCATGGTTTGTGAGTGTGACAAGTTATTAAAGCCATTTGTGACGAAGGAGACGATGAGCAGTGACATTTAGGTTCGGGAGTGTTTGAATCGGTTTCTGCGGCCCATGATCCGTCAACATGATGACCCAGTACTATTTTGGTCCGATTTGACGTCAATGCACTACTCGAAAGATATGGTAGATTGGTGCAAAGCAAACAAAGTGCAATACGTGCCAAAAGAGATGAATCCTCCGAATTGTCCGGAGGCCTGGCCAATCCGAACTTTTTTGGCCCTTTCCAAGGGATATCTACGAAAACACTTTAAGACAGCGAATTCAATGAATATCGAAAAAGACTGGACAAAAGTGGCAAAGAATTTGAAAAAGACAAAAGTGGCCAAAATAATCGACAAGGAATCTGTGCTGAAGCTCATGATCAAAAGTTCGCTCCTTGGCATACGATTAAAAAAAACTGCGGATTATTTTCATCCACTTCAAAGAGAATGCTAGGGGAAATGGCTCTAATGTTGGCCTATGGATCTAACATTGGACCCATCGCTAAACATCCGCTATTTATCAATTTTATCTACACGGTAAGAAAAAAGTACCCAAAAGTAAGTTCTTTTCACTCATCTCGGCACTATAAAGGGTGATACGGTCAAAATTTGGTCAAGGGAAAACGCGTGTAAATCGGTGAAATCGTTTATTTAAAAATCAAATTAAATTTCTTTTTCAAGTTCAATTAGTATAAAATTCAGGAAAAATATTCAGTTAGGCTTCCGCTTTTCCAAATCCGAATTGCCGGGCCTTACGCTTGACCCCTGCCATCAGATTTTGTACAGCCACCTTGTCCACCTTCTTCGCCGCAGAAAGCCAGTTTGCCTTGAACTGCTGCTCGCCCTTAGCAGTTTTTTTGGTCTTCTTTAGGTTCCGCTTGACAATAGCCCAGTATTTCTCAATTGGGCGGAGCTCTGGCGTGTTGGGAGGGTTCTTGTCCTTGGGAACCACCTGCACGTTGTTGGCGGCGTACCACTCCATGGCCTTTTTACCGTAATGGTAAGATGCCAAATCCGGCCAAAACAGTACGGAACAACCGTGTTTCTTCAGGAAAGGCAGCAGACGTTTATTCAAACACTCTTTCACGTAAATTTCTTGGTTGACAGTCCCGGAAGCTATGAAAATGCTGCTTTTCAAGCCACAGGTACAGATGGCTTGCCAAACCAGATATTTCTTTGCGAACTTTGACAGTTTCATGTGCTTGAAAACATCTGCTACCTTTCCCCTTCCTTTTGCCGTATAAAACTCCTGTCCCGGAAGCTGCTTGTAGTCGGCTTTGACGTAGGTTTCGTCGTCCATTACCACGCAGTCAAACTTCGTCAGCATCGTCGTGTACAGCCTCCGGGATCGCGCTTTGGCCGTCGTATTTTGTTTATCATCGCGATTTGGAGTCACTACCTTCTTGTAAGTCGATAGTGCGGCTCGTTTTTTGGCTCGATGCACGGTTGTAGACGATACACCCAGCTTATTTGCGGCATCTCGGAGAGAGAGGTTAGGGTTTCGCTTGAAACTACCGGCAACTCTCTTTGTCGTCTCAGCGGCTTCCGGTTTTCGATTTCCCCCCGATCCAGACTTCCTGGCTGTCGACAAACGTTCCCCAAACACTTTATCAACATTTGTAACGGTTGATTTGGCAACTTTTAGCGATTTTGCCAACTTTGCGTGCGAGTAGCTCGGATTTTCGCAATGCGCGAGCAAAATTTTGATACGCTGCTCTTCTTGCTTGGACGGCATTTTGACAACTGAAGAGTGAATTCCAAAATCAAAATAGGAGCAACATTCTACACACACACACCTTCAAAATGAGGGGTGTTCAGGTTTTTTAAATGCAAAATTGAAAGAAATACGTCAAGTTGATATTAACCAAATTTTGACCGTATCACCCTTTAGTGCAGGAACCCAAAAGTAGGTAAAGCGGGTCAAAGTAGTTTTCATTTACTTGTGTGCAATTCGTATGGAATTTTCCACTAGCTTTCTACCCAAAAGTAGGTTAGTTGTACCCAAAAGTAGGTAAACATGATTATACGTAACGTTGGGTTCCCACACTTTACTACCCCTGTTGGGTGGTTTTGCTCCTCCGTTTTTGACAACATTAGAAGGAGAAAAGGAGACAAACTAGTCAAAAGTAGGTAAAAGTGAACTGGCCGTTGGGTACTTTTTTCTAACCGTGTAGATGAACGCGTCATTGGGACGGTACTAATGGATATTTTTGGTCGCTATTGAAAATTTAGTCGATTGCTGAATTTATGTATGGGCCCAAATTAGGGGCATTTAGGCCGACATTACATTCATTTCCCCTTTTTAACATAACGTTGTTTTATTCCAAAAATAAACTGTACTTATACTTTCTGGGAAACCCAGTTTATCCCTTTGTTTATTTCTACCAAGCACAAATTGGCTCACAATGGCTCAAATGCATCAATGGTTGTTGCATTTACGTTATGCTTTTTCTTTGTATTTACTCAAACCCGATATTACAGAAATAAATTTATGGCTCCAGATAAACTAACATCCGGTCGATCGAGTCCAACCTGTATTCAATAAATCGTAGCACAAAAATGGCTCATTCAATCAAAATATATTTAAGACAAAGTTGTGGAAAACTGTATTTCTTTTTCAGAAAAACATACACACTAAAAAAAATCACAAATTTTCGTAAAAAAAATGTAAAAATATTCTATAATAATAAAGAACATTTCTAGATAGAGCTGGAATTAGGGCGAAACAGATTTTGTAAACAATGGTTTATCTCGATGAATCCATGGCTCTCATTGGCAAATCAACATCACCATCGTGTAGGGAAAGACTTCCCCTACTTGATGGATGTGTTGCTTTATGTAAGCGTGCCTTGAATTCCTAGAAATCATCGAGAGAAGTCATTGTTTACAAGGGCTGTTACGCCCTAATTCCAGCTCTATCTAGAATTTTAAGAGTTTTAAACTTATATTTATTAGAAAGCTTATCAAAAATGCTAACTTTTCTAAAATGGATACATAAAACCTTCAAAATCGTAAAAAAAACTCAACTTTGCACTCTTTTTCACGCAAATTTAAGTAATATGAGAATAGGAAACGATTTTCAAGGACTAAAAAATAGTGTATTTTGCACAAAAACAATTAAAATTATTGGTGGAAAAAAGGTTCAAAATTTTTACTAAAAGTTTATGTTCAACGATTTCGATCAATTTTGAAGTGTCCGATCAGCGACTACAAGCTCTTCTCCCGCATTCTCAAAACCAGACTCGAGCAAGTGATGAGTGAGCACCACGTCTTGAGCGACGGGCAGAAATGCTCCAACTCAGAGCATAATATCTTTCAAGCCACTCTTGCTCTCAAGGACCGACGATAATAGGTTCAGGTATTGCCGAAGCCAACATTTCCCCTACTAGTTTTCATAATTTTTTGACAAATGTCGTGAATTTTTTCCGCACGATTTTTTTTTTTCTGAAATGGAAATTTTGTATAACTTTGACGCAGGCGTCATTTTGATTAGATAAGTAATTTTCTTACTATGAGTTATTTCAAAATGGGTCAAATACTCGTGGCTTACCCGATGTTGGAGGAGTACATTGTCGAAGGATAGGATTAGGGTAGGAGCTTTAGGGTGGGGTTTCATTGTCTCATCAGAGCATTGTCACCAACATATGAACGGTAATGCGGTTATAGATTAAAAAATTTAAAAACTAGGCTTGTGTCGAAACGGTCATAATCTAGGATAAAATTGGTTCATTGCCTCTAGCGAAGAATGCGAAGTTTAATGAAATTGTGGGAGATAAAAACAAAAATTTGATTATTACGATATTTGGCCTGGATCTGCTGATGAGTGTCATGAATTAAAATTATACACACATGATTTTCAGAAAACCACATTAACTCTAGAAAATTGTGATATCCTGCCAACCACTAAATAAAAAGAATAAAATCATAAATTGGAGTAGCACAACGGTCGACAGAGGCACCGACCGCTCAAGCCAATAGAACCGCCAACGGATCGGTTCGAAACGACACTCAGAGTTTTTGCCGCTGATCGTAAAAAATATGTAGTCCCAGCGCCCAGTGGTTAAAACTTTTGTCCGCCTCAAGTGACATGGCAGGCAAGAATGTGCTGTTCAGTTCAGCTGGGCCTGTCTCTTTGTGGGGTACAGCTGAGGATGGCAAACAACAAATGAACGAATGGCAGGTACCGTTGTGCACTATTCATTTATCCATGATGCAAACTGCATTCGGTGATGTGTGCAGTTATTATGGAAATACTGAGTAGAACGAACCGAACTCGGTAAAACACTAACGATGGAGCTGCGACGCCGGTGGCGTTGGGCAGTTGGTTTCGGTTTTTGTACCGTGGCTACAACGTTTTGTATGCACAATGCACCCACTCACACAGAGCGTGTCACAGTCGTGTTCTTCTGAAAATTTCAAAAAACGAATTGCGGCATCATAAAATTCGCGTTTTACTTGATGATGTTTGGTTTTTTTTTGTTCGAGGCTTCACACGGGTCTTTTCGTGTCGTGTAGATTTATGGTCACATTGTGTGCTTTGAGGATTTACTCTTTTTTGATTGTTCCTTGGAAGGTTGGTGGGGGTGGGGTTGTTTGTACTTACACTCATCGTGATCCTTGGCGGTGACGGTGAGTACGGTGTGCTGAATATCTTCATTTTCGTCGACTTCCGCCTCGTACAGGGCCTTGTCGAAGTACGGTGGATTGTCATTCTTGTCGGCAATTCCAATACGGATGAATTTAGTAACTGCGTGAGGGAGAAAAGAGAAAGCAAAGAAAATGATGTTAGTTGATTGCTGTTTGCTTGAATTCTGCATTAAGCCTAAATTGGATTCGAATGCGTTCCCTTCAGTTCGAAATCACCACACAGCTAGAGTCGTTCTCTTTTCTGATATGAGTCCATTTCGTAACCACTTTATACCGTTACCCGCCGCATCAGGCTCATTACGTATCATAAATTCAATATCTTTAAAGTGTTATAATCCTAATAAAATTTCCCAAACGATCCCATTAAATTGTCTAGACGGGCTCTTGTCGAAAATGGTCTCAAGAATCAATATCAGCGTTGCCTCTTTCCATCGAGCACAATCAAATTCTCAGCCATTTTCTCTCGACTGATTTGCTAGCCTTCCCGTTTTGGAGATTTGCTTCCATTTGAACCGGATCAAAGCATTTACGGAAACCCACTTAAGCCTTGACACTACACAGCAAACGTTCAGTCCGAAAGTGTTACGAAACAACACATCGAAAACGGATCACCATTTCCTTCCACCCCCTTGGTAGTGCAGCTTAGAAGTCCATTCAATAATCCAATTTCCTTCGATCGAATCACGTGCTTCCAACGAACTGCCATTGGACAGCGAGCTGGCAAATAGCGGAGGAAAAAAGGCCTTCCACGACGCCCAGTCAGGTAAAAGGCAAGCGATTTATCGAATCTCTGCAGGCCTTGCTGGAATGCAGTGTGCCCTACTCTCCGGACCCGCTGGTATTTCAATAAACCAGTAGTGTTGTGTACAAAGTAGCTGCCATAAAGTCAGGTTGCCCCCCAGTGAATTTATGATAAGCCCATTAGATCGGCTCATGACTACATATATGAAGGAAGGAAGCCCAGGGGAAAAGTGAATACCATGTGAGTTCCGGTCATACCCCATTGCCGGATATGTGGTCACACAAAAGTTGACTTCGTGCCAATCGTTCTGACACGATGCGATAGTCACATGCGAAAATAAGTTTCTTGGGCCGGACTTGCAGCTAGTCAGAAGAAAGTAGAAGAGAGGATAAGGTCAGGAATATTTAATCGGTGCCAATTTATGGCCGGCCATTATTGAGGCACTGATGCAGCAGCTATTTCGTTGCAATTACCTAGGATACCTTCGGGTCCTCTCTCCTGGGGTCATGTATATATATAAATGTGTGTGGTATTTGCGCTCGGTGTTCGTTATGGAGAGAAATTTATGAGCAAAGATACGTCTTGACTGCATGCAGAGGCTGTTTCGGTCTGTGCACAGCAACGGAAATTGATTTCGCTCATACAAGAAAGCATTTTCTGAGATTCGTTAGTGGAAATCACGTGTGCTGTGCAAACAATTAAAGTTGAAATGTGAATGCCTATGGTGCCACTCAAAAGTTATGCGTTGAAATGGCGATGATGACTTTTTTTTTAATGGTGCCTTGGTTAATTTTGTCCGTAAAGGGAGGCTGGTTTGATTAATGGTCCAGTCGAAGACCTTTTCGTCCCGGCAGTTTTTCATATTGTTATCGTATCAACAGAGAATGCTCAAAAACTGTAGGTCTTCATCGACTCACATCTGAGTTTTGAGTGATGAGCTCCATCGGCGATGTCATTGGGAACAATAAGGGTGTTCAATTTACGTGGATGCATTTAAAAAAAAACCAAGGCAGCTTTTCCGAAACACCATTCTGGTAGCAAAAAGCTCGCGTCATTCTTCTATTCCTGAAATGATGCGTCGAAAAAGGCTACTTTTGATTTTTTTTTTTCGGAAATGCTTCAAAGTAAATTGAACCTTGAGTGGAAGAGGATCAGCCTTACACTTTTCTGCTGATTGGCGCTTCAGTTGAACTGAAATGCTAGTGGACCCTGATTGGTTTTTGCTTTTCACCAGAAATCTACCATTCTGCCTATCGCCAGATAGATAGGTATCAGATTCCTGGTGAGAAACGGGGAAGTTGAAACACGATCTGGCAGGCTCCAGTTGGCAACTAGAGTGCGTAACGGAAGAGGGTCTTGGCACACCCCACCCAAAAGCACAAAAGAACCAGACAGATATTTTCAATTTACGAAATTGAACGCAACGCCTAAAGGATACGGTTGAAAATACGGTGGAATGAGATCAATGCTCACAGCACCAGCTTTTATGCTTTTTGCTGAACCTAAGAAAGGTGCTGGTTTGTGCCAATCTTCGGTTACAATTTTTTTTATTGAAAAATTTAATCACAACTCGATGTACAGAGAGATGAGATGATACTTCCTCCGAGATGAAGAACATTCCAATTTTCCTTAACGAAAAAATCTTATCACACCTTTAGTAAAATCAAACTAAAGGTTGATTCAAACCTTAATCAAACTGTGATTAATATCAATTAGGCTTACAGCTTTATGCTTCTGGTGACGAAGGTCGTTCCATGTTTTCTGTCATTCAATTAGGTATAATTTACACTCTTCCACGTCCATCAAAATGGATTGTAGTTCCCTCAGTTTTTTTTTTTACATTGAAGAGGTCATCTGAACAGCCGTCCACAGTTTTAAAGAGAAAAGTTGACGCAAAGCGGAGAAGAGCGCATGATAGCTGAGTGAAGTTGGATTTTTACTTTTCTTTTTTTATATTCTGAGGTGGATCCATCCCTGCTCACATGAGTGATTAGGCGTGGTAATGTGGTAATCGAATAATGTCTAATATTTCCAATTGAAAAGCTAAATGAGATAACTGATTTATATACTCAAGACAAATGGAGCACGTTGAGACAGTAAAAAGTCAGTTACCTCAAAAGGCATTCTCCGAAGAATCCCAAAAAATCCCAAAAAATAAGCTCTCATCCCAAAGAGCGTGGGTTCAATCCCAATCGGCGCTGCCGGGATGTTCTGAGGAATAACATCTCTGATTACGCCTTCTTTTGGAAGGGAAGTAAAGCCGTTGGTTCCCGGTTCATGAATTGATGGGTCGATACGTAGGCTCCAGGTGTGAGAGCTGCCTCCTTGGCGTCTGTAGTATTGGTACTCAGTACGGAAAACAAGATCGATAGAAAACAAATCAAGGGAAAAAAAACTACAAGGTTCAGCCCTATGGGGTTGTACGCAATGGTGTCGTATGACTCTGTGGTTATTTGTTAACTGCAGCAGAAGCTTGGGTTTTGGGTAGGAATAGGAACTTGAGCGGGGTTCTCTCTGTTTATACTATTTAGTATGACGCGCTTGACAAAGATGGCCCACAGCGACTCACCAATAGCTACTGATTCCGATCATTAGCGGTGTGGCTTCTTTTTCCTTCTATGGGTGAAAATCGCGCGAATGTGCAACTGTTGCCATGATAATTAAAATTATAACCAGTTGCTTGGAGAAAGCGATTTCCCTAACACAGATTTCAAAGTTGAATTCCATCCGGTCTCACCAAACGGTGTTTATTCAATCACTGCGTGATGAGTGGTGGTTTTCTCCAGTACACAACGAAAGGCTCCCCGCAAGCAGCTTGCTATAAAGGCTGGCCTTAACCGCTGATAGGATTCAGTTCCAATCACCGTATGTGGTGGTGTCCGGTCGTCGGCATAATCAGCAGCAGTGCTTTCGGCGCGTGGCGTTGAACATTGTTCTCCAGTACACAACGAAAGGCTGCCTGCAAGCAGCGAGCTGCAGCCCACATGAGCATCCATAGAAGGAGGAAGAAGCCACACCGCTATTGATCGGAATCACTAGCTCTTCGTGAGTCGCTGTGGGCCATCTAGGTCAAGCGCGTCATAATTAAGAGTATAAACAGAGAGAACCCCACTCAAATTCCTATTCCTACACAAAACACAAGCTTCTGCTGCAGTTAAAAAATAAGATTTATTATATAAGACCACGTAGTCCTACGTCACCATTGCGTACAACCCCATAGGGCTGTCCCTTGTAGTTTTTCAATCGAAATTTCGATCCGCGATGTGGCGAAGAAGACGGATGTTTCCATCTGGTTTGTCCAAAAAACGATGAAACGTGCCAGCATTCACGTCTTCAAGGTCCGGAAGGCACTAAATCGGAACGGTGCCTAAAACCCACGCCAGGAAGCTGTACTGGAGTGCCTGCGATCCCACGGAGGCGAGACACTGTTTTGGCCGAATTTGGCATCCTGTGCGGCCAGTGTTAATATGGCACAGAGACAAAAATGCTGTATTTGTACCCTAAGACGTCAACCCACCGAACTCGCCGGAACTTCGCCCGATTGAGAAGTTTTGGGCCAGACTTCGTAAAATACCTAAGGTGTTGGAGGACAAGCTGGCTTCGAAGAAACAGTGGGTGAAAGTATCAAGCGAATTCGACCCTACCTTATGAGTGGTGTCAAGGGCAAGGTGTGGGCATTCAGTTATGAAACGAAGATCCAATAAAGCAATGAAGTAGACACCTTCATGGCGTTGAATTTATTCTCTGAAAGTTTGAAGAAAATCCGACTGAAAATTAATTTTTGGTGACCATTTTTGTGTGTCTCACTTTTTTCGAGTACAGTCTTAATATTATTCTAAATAGGGGAAATGGATGTATCGTCGGTCTAAATGCCCCTGATTTAGGCCCATTGATAAATTCATCAATCGACTAAATTTTAAATAGTGACCAAAAATATCCATTAGTACCGTCCCAATGATGCGTTCATCTAGATAAAATTGATAAATAGCAGATTTTTAGCGATGAGCCCAATCTTAGATCCATAGGCCAACATTAGAGAAATTTCCCTTATTTAATTTTTTTTAAATTCTATAAAATCAATTTCCATAATCAGCATATTACTGGGTATAACTTCTTTACAAAATGTGATACAGAAAATGTTTTAGTAAGAAAACATGCGTCTCATGAAGCTTCAAAAGTATGACTTTCATGAGAATTTTAAATCTTGGTTAAAAACAAAATTTTAAGGAATACATACCCTTATTTAACTCTGCCAAAGTTAAAAAATTAAAACAATTGTTTTGATTTTCCGACTGTTGGGAATTAATTAATTGGATTTTTGACTAAGTAGTCTGGCGAGTTCAAACCGTTGTTTTTCA